AAGGCCTCCTCCGGGCCCCGCTCCCCCAGTGCTGCCCTTGGGGGGAGCACGTACATGGCTAAGGGAGGGCGAGCTCCCATGGGGCCAGGCAGGAGCCCAGCTGTCAGCTCAGACTCCCCAGCCCGTGGCACCTACACCAGCAGCCTGATCTCCCCATGGCTTTGATGGGAGCAGGGGGCACCCAGCCCCCAGCTTTTCCCCGGGGAGCTCGGCAGCAAGGAGCTGTTTGTGAAGCACCTCGCATGGCCACACAGCTGCAAAACCAAACAGAGTGCGGAGCCAGGACCCCTGGCTAATCAGTGCGGAGTCCTGCCCCGCCAGGGCTCTGCAGAGGGGATAATTCGGGTATAGTGCCGCGGTGGGGAGTGGCGACCCTGGGGGAAAGGAGGCAGGAGCGCAGCAGGTGGAAGGAGGGGTGGATGGGGCGCTGTTCCTGCAGCGGAGAGACGCTGCGGCATTAGAGGAGCGGCCCTGCTCCGTGCGCACAGAGAGCCCCATGCCCAATCCTACTGTACAGCTGGCACCAGGCAATGAGCTCGCAGGGTGCTCAGAGCAGGGCTCGCGCGAGTGAATCTGCTCACGCCTGCCACAAGCTGGGGGAAAGGCAGCGAGGACAGATCCAAGCTGGGAGAGCCCGGGCACCAATCACCCTCAGAGTCCTGCAGCCACCTTGGTACAGCCCCACTGGGCACAGCTCAGAGGCTGGGGAGAAGCAGGCCCTGGGCAAGCAGTTCCTGTCCAGCTGTGAGCAACAGCCCCCCCCCCCCGCCCCGGAATGAGGCCTCTTCCCCACCGGAGCCTGGACGCTGGCACCAAGCGCCCAGCTTGCCCAGCTCCTGCTCAGGAAGGCCGCAGAGCGCACACTATTCGCTGCGGGCTGCTTGGTGCCTGGACCTGGAACCCGCCGGGCTGCCTGGTGTCCAACAGCCACCTCTGGCAGTGGGCTTCCCCCAATGCCCACCTCTGCCGCGCCAGCAGCTATTAGGCAGGTCACAAGGATTTGGAAGCTGGTCAGGTCTGGGGCCCTGGCTGCTGGCATTCTCCTACAGAAAAACCCCTCTGGCTCCAAGCCTGTCCGTGCTCAGGTCCGTGAGCCACGCTGGGACTCTCCTCTCTAGGAAGATGCCGCTCACAGTCCCTGCTCCCCACCCCATGACCCCGCTGCCTGTTTCTCCTCTCCTGCTTTCCATAAACAGAGTAGTTATCCCCAGTGCCACGCAGGGGAGGGCTGTGTGACAGGAAGGGAGCGTGAGTCAGCCCCACAGCCACCCTGCCCCCAGTCCTGGCGAGGCTGGTGCATGGAATGCTTGAAGCCGCTTATCATGGGCGTAATCTGCAGTCACACCATGCAATCGATACAGCCCTCCCACAGTTCCCAAGTACACCACTAATTAAACATCACAACACCTCTACGGAGAGAGGGACAGACAAGGATCACTTCACCCACCACTGATATGCATCCACCTCTGAGGTGCAGCATGGCAGCTGTGTAACAGCAATGGTACAAGAGCTTAGGACACAAAGCAATGCACACCACAGCCAGCTGAAACTGCAGGAGAATATAGAGACAAAGCAGTTCTTCAGTTAGAATTCAGCCAGCACACTGAGGTTCCCAAAACACTTCCCAAAAGAATCCCAGGGGATCTTTAAGGCTCATGAGCAGCAGGGGTCTCTTCCACTGAATCACGATCACAACACCCCTTCTCCCAACACTCAGTTTCCCTGCAATTCTCCCATCCAAATGTTGACCAAACCCACCCCTGCTTAGCCTACGATCTGCCAGGGTCTCAGCAGGGGACAGCCTGTCTGCAGGTCTGTGCGGGGCGGTAGATAATCAGACTTGGGTGGGTATTTGGGTTTGTTGCTAGGTGACTCAGTCTAGTCCCCAAGGTTTGCACTTGCACAATCCCGACCACATGTCAACAGGAACTCCTCTGAGAACGCTTCCAATACACAACTCCAGCTGCTAGCTCTCGGGCAGCTCACAGAGAAGGGGGCTTGGAATAGCCCCCAAACAAAATTTTAAGGCCCCTGAAGCACCGGCAGAAGTGGCCCCTTTCTCCGTAGGTGGATAAAAGACCTGGGACAGAATCTGCTGTGTTATTTTTAGGAAACGCCAAAGCAGAAAGGACCAGGAGGATCCAGCCAGCCCGGCCTGCCAGCAGAACAGTGTCCCACCCAAGTCCCTACTTCTGTCTCCCGTAGTAGCCAAAGCGAGGTATGGCACAGGGGTCCCAGCTGTACAAGCCTACCCCCCGGGGGGTATTTTTCCCTGTCCCCTGCTCATCGTCAGCCTGTGTCCTGAAGCAGCAGGGTGAAGAGCACTTGGGTTTCATGCTTCCCAGGGTAATTCCTAGGAATGCTTCCTTTTTTCCCTAAGCCCCCCCTCCAAAAGGCTATTCGCACAACGCTCTAGGCCCGATGGAAGCCGGACAGTCCCAGCTAACCCTGCTCCGTGCAAGAAAGGCTCGCCAGACACCAGGTAACATTACACACCCGGGCTGGATCCTGCTCCAGGTGCAAAGAGGATATACGAAGCTCCTGACTCAAACAGGGTACAAAGCACGACCAGTCTGCTGTGGCATAGGAGGCCACCCCCAGGGCAGGGCAGAATATGGTCTGGCCCTGAATGCACTGCAGGAGCTAGGCAAAGCTCTGGCTGTCTCAGACTTACCCAGCTTTTGTCTCTTTAAGGCCAGCTTCTCCCTAAAGTGAAATCCTCAGTGCGGGACATCTGGCCTCTGCCAACACAGCTCCCTGACACTGGGGGACAGGCCATCGCGAGCAGCTCTTTTGGAGAGCCCCGTCATGCCCCCCTCAGCAGTCCCGCTGCAGGGAAGTGACAGGAGGCATCACGCCTGACTTGTCCATGGCTGGGGCAGTGAACGCAGTTTCTGGGCATGGCTTGGCTGGCACGGCGCTAGGTGCTGTCACTCTCCCGGCGCTGACCCACACAGGCTGCACACGCCTCTTTGACATGCGTGTGTACATGGATTGCACACGGCCCCATTACACAGGGCAGACTCCTGAGGCTGTCCCGGTACCCTGAGCGCCAGCCACACGTGGGAGCTGCCTCACACCCAGCTATGAAGCCCAGAGGCTGGGCTGCTGGGTTTCTCCGGCAGGGCTGGGGGTGGTTTGGGTCCCCGTTGGTCAGACAGCCTCGCCACTCTGACCCCGGGGGACCCAAGCGGAGCAGGGTGCTGTGCCAGCCGGGGTCCGCGCCCGGCGGGTGAGGGACTCGCAAGCCTGAAGTAGGAGCCCAGAGCTCAGGGATGGTGGCTAAGTAGCCGGCTGGGGAGACCCCCCCCCCACGCGGGGTGCCCGGGAGGGGCTGTCACGGGAGCCGGGACGGCCGGGGGGGGGGCCGCTGTCACGGGGAGCCGGGGGGGCCGGGGGGGGCGCCTGTCACGGGAGCCGGGGGGCCGGGGGGGGGCGCCTGTCACGGGAGCCGGGGGGGCCGGGGGGGGGGGCCTGTCACGGGAGCCGGGACGGCCGGGGGGGGGGGGGCCTGTCACGGGAGCCGGGGGGGGCTGTCACGGGAGCCGGGGGCCGGGGGGGGGCCGGGGGGGCTGTCACGGGAGCCGGGGGCGGCTGTCACGGGAGCCGGGACGGCCGGGGGGGGGCTGTCACGGGAGCCGGGACGGCCGGGCGGACCGGGGGGGCTGTCACGGGAGCCGGGACGGCCGGGGGGGGGCTGTCACGGGAGCCGGGACGGCCGGGGGGGCTGTCACGGGAGCCGGGACGGCCGGGGGGGGGGGCTGTCACGGGAGCCGGGACGGCCGGGGGGGGGGGCTGTCACGGGAGCCGGGACGGCCGGGGGGGGGGGCTGTCACGGGGGCCGGGGGGCTGTCACGGGAGCCGGGGGGGGGGGGCTGTCACGGGAGCCGGGGGGGGCTGTCACGGGAGCCGGGGGGGGGCTGTCACGGGAGCCGGGGGCTGTCACGGGAGCCGGGGGCTGTCACGGGAGCCGGGGGGGCTGTCACGGGAGCCGGGGGGGGGGGCTGTCACGGGAGCCGGGGGGGGGGGCTGTCACGGGAGCCGGGGGGGGGGCTGTCACGGGAGCCGGGGGGGGCTGTCACGGGAGCCGGGGGGGGGGGGCTGTCACGGGAGCCGGGGGGGGGGGTGTCACGGGAGCCGGGGGGGGGCTGTCACGGAGCCGGGGGCCGGGGGGGTGTTGGGAGCCGGGGGGGGCTGTCACGGGAGCCGGGGGCCGGGGGGCTGTCACGGGAGCCGGGGGGCCGGGGGGGGGGGGCTGTCACGGGAGCCGGGAGGCCGGGGGGGGCTGTCACGGGAGCCGGGGGGGCCGGGGGGGGCTGTCACGGGAGCCGGGCGGGGGGGCTGTCACGGGAGCCGGGGGTCACGGGAGCCGGACGCCGGGGGGGCTGTCACGGGAGCCGGGGGGGGCTGTCACGGGAGCCGGGACGGCCGGGGGGGGCTGTCACGGGAGCCGGGACGGCCGGGGGGGGCTGTCACGGGAGCCGGGGGGGTGTCACGGGAGCCGGACGGCCGGGGGGGGCTGTCACGGGAGCCGGGCGGGGGCTGTCACGGGAGCCGGGACGGGGGGGCTGTCACGGGAGCCGGGACGGCCGGGGGGGGGCGGCTGTCACGGGAGCCGGGACGGCCGGGGGGGGGCTGTCACGGGAGCCGGGACGGCCGGGGGGGGCTGTCACGGGAGCCGGGACGGCCGGGGGGCCCGGGGGGGGCTGTCACGGGAGCCGGGGGGGGGGGGCTGTCACGGGAGCCGGGGGGGGGGGCTGTCACGGGAGCCGGGACGCCGGGGGGGCTGTCACGGGAGCCGGGGGGGCCGGGGGGGGCTGTCACGGGAGCCGGGACGGCCGGGGGGGGGGGGGGCTGTCACGGGAGCCGGGGGGGCCGGGGGGCCGGGGGGGCTGTCACGGGAGCCGGGGGGGCCGGGGGGGGCTGTCACGGGAGCCGGCCGCGCCCCCCAGCCCCCGCCGAGGCCCGGTGCGGGGCTGGCTCCCCGGGGCCCCGCTCACCTGCTCGCTTGCGGGGGTGGCGCGGGGCCGGCGGGCGCTCCCCGCGCGGCCGCCCCACGCAGCTGCCCATGGCGGAGGCTCCTGCCGCGGGGGGGGCCGGTGCCCGGGCCGGGCCCTGCAGCCGCTGCCCGCCGGACCCGCACCGGCTCTGCCCGGGAGCACGTGACAGCGGCCCGCAGCACCGCCCCCGGGCCCGGCCGGGCCAATGGGAGTGTGTGTGGGGGAGGGGCAGAGTGTGACCCCGCCCCCAGACCGGGCCGGGCCAATGGGAGTGTGTGTCTGGGAGGGGCAGGGTGTAACCCCGCCCCCTTGCCCGGCCGGGCCAATGGGAGTGTGTGTCTGGGAGGGGCAGAGTGTGACCCCGCCCCCAGACCGGGCCGGGCCAATGGGAGTGTGTGTGGGGGAGGGGCAGAGTGTGACCCCGCCCCCAGACCGGGCCGGGCCAATGGGAGTGTGTGTCTGGGAGGGGCAGAGTGTGACCCCGCCCCCAGACCGGGCCGGGCCAATGGGAGTGTGTGTGGGGGAGGGGCAGAGTGTAACCCCGCCCCCGAGGCCCCGCCGGGCCAATGGGAGTGTGTGTCTGGGAGGGGCAGAGTGTGACCCCGCCCCCAGACCGGGCCGGGCCAATGGGAGTGTGTGTGGGGGAGGGGCAGAGTGTAACCCCGCCCCCAGGCCCCGCCGGGCCAATGGGAGTGTGTGTCTGGGAGGGGCAGAGTGTGACCCCGCCCCCAGACCGGGCCGGGCCAATGGGAGTGTGTGTGGGGGAGGGGCAGAGTGTGACCCCGCCCCCAGACCGGGCCGGGCCAATGGGAGTGTGTGTCTGGGAGGGACAGAGTGTAACCCCGCCCCCAGACCGGGCCGGGCCAATGGGAGTGTGTGTGGGGGAGGGGCAGAGTGTGACCCCGCCCCCGAGCCGCCGGGCCAATGGGAGTGTGGGGGGAGGGGCAGAGTGTGACCCCGCCCACCAGGGAGCTGCTGCGGGCTGGGCACAGCCTCGGCGGCGGGGGCTGACCTCCTTTACCCGGGCCCCACCCTGTGGGAGTCACAGGCCCCGCCCTTCATCCGCCCCCCCCCCCGGCACTGAGCCCGCCCCTTCGCGCACGCGCACTGGCATTTCCCTGGGCCCGCCCGCCCCCGTTTGTCACGTGACAGATTTTGTCCCGCCTGTCCACCGTGACGGGAGGGGGGGTCGCTCCCTGGCGCGCATGCGCCGGTGTGTGCCCCCCCCCCCCAGCCCAATCCACTGCGCATCATGGCGGCGGCCGGTGCTGGGGGGACGGGCGGCGCCCTGCGGGGCTGGGTGCGGGACTTCGTGGCCGGGCAGCAGGACGGGCGGGCGGCCGAGGTGGCGGCAGGTACCGGCCGGGCCGGGGCTGGGGGGATGTAGGGGGTGGGGTGGGATGTGGGCTGGGGCTGGGGGGATGTAGGGGGTGGGGCGGGGCTGGGGGGATGTAGGGGGTGGGGCTGGGCTGGGTGGATTGGGGGTTGGGGGGGATGTGGGGTGGGGCTGGGCTGGGTGGATTGGGGGTGGGGCTGGGCTGGGGGCTGGGGGGATGTAGGGGGTGGGGCGGGGCTGGGGGGATTGGGTGGATGTAGGGGCTGGGGGGATGTAGGGGGTCGGGTGGGATGTGGGCTGGGGTGGGGCTGGGTGGATTGGGGGTTGGGGGGGATGTGGGGTGGGGCTGGGTGGCTGTAGGGGGTGGGCTGGGCTGGGTGGATTGGGGGTTGGGGGGGGATGTGGGCTGGGGGCTGGGTGGATGTAGGGGGTGGGGCTGGGCTGGGTGGATTGGGGGTTGGGGGGGATGTGGGGTGGGGCTGGGCTGGGTGGATTGGGGGTGGGGCTGGGCTGGGGGGATTGGGGGGATGTAGGGGGTGGGGCTGGGCTGGGGGGATGTAGGGGGTCGGGTGGGATGTGGGCTGGGGCTGGGCAGGGTGGATTGGGGACTGGGGGGATGTAGGGGGTGGGGCTGGGCTGGGTGGGATGTAGGGGGTGGGGCTGGGGGCAGGGGGGATGTGGGGCAGATGGGATAGTGGGTATGCTGGGACTCTGGGTTAGGATGGTCATGGGCACTTGCCTGGGGGAGGGTGGGCAAGGTTGGATACAGGAGAACAGTGCTCCAGGAGGCTTGGGTGATCTCCGCACCTTCTGGGGTTTGATGGGGCCCAGTCACTGGCTGCCTTCCCTGTGTGTAGGTTCCCAGCCTTCCCTGGCACCTCTCGTGGCGGGATACCTCTCTCCTGTGCGGTCTGTCGGGGTGGGAGGTAACTGTCCCCACTGTACCGTGCACTGGCGAGGCCTCCCCTGCACTGCTGGGTCGAAGCGCGGGCACCGCGGTTTAGGAAAGATGGGGATGAGCCAGAGAGCCTAGAGGACACCAGCAGCAATGATAAAAGGTTTAGAAAACCTGACCTGTGAAGGCTGGTTAATAAAAGGCATGTTTACTTGAGAAAAGACTGAGGGGAAAATCTGATAATAGTTTGTAAGTGTGTTGAGGGCTGTTTTAGAGGACGGCGATCAGTTGTTCTCCATGTTTCAGAGTAACTTCCGTGTTAGTCTGTATTCGCAAAAAGAAAAGGAGTACTCCATGTGCATCAAGGATAGGACAAGAAGTACTGGGCTTCATCTATAAGGATCATTACGCTCTGGACTAGGCGTCCAAGGCCGGCTGTGGAATCCCCATCACTGGAGGTTTCTAACAACAAGTTGGACAAACACCTGTCAGGGGTGGTCTAGGTTTACTCAGTCCTGCCTCAGCGCAGGGAGCTGGACTAAAGGACTTCTTGAGGTCCCTTCCAGTCCCACATTTCTAAGATTCTTTTGACAAGGTTTGTGCTGTTTGGTTTCTCAGAGAACTTGCCGTTCTGTTTGTACCAGTAATTCGGTGACTGTTACATTAAGGGATTCTGCCGCATCTGGAATTTCGCTTTTAAGGCTACAAGGGTGTGTGGCTGCGTCTTGGCAATGGTTTGGAAAGGAGCTAAGAGAGCCGTAGGCATACATGGTCTGTTTGATCTCATGGAAGCTTAGTGGGTGGTTGGGGGTCTGTACAGGGACTATTGGTTTGTAACATGTTTACCAGTGAGTTGAGGAAAGGGGTGAGCTGGCGAAACTAGCAGATAATGCAGAATGTCATTGGCTAACATGATGGCAAGTGAAATTCACCGTGATGTTTGTTGGAAGGATCAATTTGAACTACCCCCGCGCTATGAAATCCATCACGTGCTCACCTTGTGTACTGTGCTCGTTCCTGGCCACCATGTTTGAAAGGGGATAGAAGAAATGAAAGGATGCAGCAACTATTAGAAGTATGGAAAGAGAGAATAAAAGGTTGGAACTGTTTAGTCTAGAGTGGAGACAAATCAGCGGAACGTGATGTACACAAACTAATGAATGGTACAGCGAAGGTAAATCACATACTTCTGTTCCCCACAGACCTCGCGAGAACAACAACGTGGAAAGGCAGCACAAACTGATACATGGAAATATTGTTTTACACAATGGATAATTAACCTTTGGCTCTCACTGCCGTACCCCCATACGTTGGTGATGCTGAAAGTTTCACAAGTTTACCATAGTTTCTGAAACTGTGCTGAGCACAACTGGACCTTGCCTGTGTTTATGGCTGTACCCCGTTCAACCCTATAGCAGAATCCACTGTTGGCACAGTCAACAAAAGGTGTCTTTCATAGGCTAATGCGGTCACTAGGTGAAAATACTCAAGCCTCCGGTCACCCGAGAATTGAGCAAATCTCAAGCCTCAGAACATAGCAGGATGAGCGGGTAGCTTAACCTCACGAAGCGTTAGTAACTTGTCATTTAAGTCACACTACCTGAGCCTTTTCCTGTTTATGAGGAAACACTCCTCTCTGTAGGTATTATTTTAAATCTTGCCTTTTCAAGTGCAGAAATTCATTGCTCAGGGTTAGAGTCCTTAGAGGTTCCTGGCCTTTTAGGAGACAGTTTAAGGAAGGAGAATTGACAGTTGAGCCCCTACATGTTTCCTCCTTGGAGCTTCCGATGCAGCTTCACTGCATCCTAACCCACCCCTGTGCTATTCCATTTCCGCTTGCCCACATGCAGGTCTGGCAGTGCCCTTCAGTGATTGATGACCTGTGGCACCCCCTGCTATTCTAGTTCTGGGCTCTTCCAGTGCCAGTCAGTTCTGGCCTGCACCCCCCTACTATGCCAGTCCTCCCCGCATAGCTCTGCTGATGCTCCTCAATTACAGACTGTCTTGTGCCGGTTAAGGGATGGGTGCTCTCCAGCAGCAGGCTGCAGCACAACAGGGGTGCCTACCTCAGTTTCCCCTTTTTTCCACCCATGAAGGGAACATAGTTTCGCACTGTCTGATACAAAACGTGCTTCTGGGCATAATTTGTTCACGTACATCAGTGTAGTAATCCCCAGAAGCCTGGTAGTGAAAACCAGTCTCCAGTTCCCACAATAACCATAGAAAGGTTCAGCAGATTTTCCATTCCCCTCTTCAGGCCTCACCATCAGGTCATGAACTCGACAGTCAGTAGCAGCCTTTTGTTCCCAGGTCCTTGTGCTGCTGATCCAGGGCCCCACTCTCCGGGTCTCCCTGCCTGAGAGGAACCAGTCTTTCTGCAGCCCTCCCTTGGTCTTCATGCTGAAGGCCCTTCGTCCTGTAGTGTCCCCCTCCTCCTATGCCTGCTCAGGTAGCTCCACCTCCCCACGACAAACCTCTTGACCCTCTTGCTTCTGGGCTCGGCTTCTCTTGACCAAGCTGGTTGTTCCCCGTTTCCTAGGGGCCAAGCCCCAGGCTCCCACCATCAGAGGTTCCCAGCTTTGGTCAGTTCCTCACTGGCAGCCCCCAGGTAGTTGCTCTCCTTCAGCTCTTTCCCTGGGGCAGCTCTCACCTGCCCCTCCTGACTCAGGCAGGCTCCTTCTCTTTTGGGCCCAGGTGCCCCCAGTGTTCAGTTGACCAGGCACAGGTGGCCCCCTCCCTCGTAAAGGGGCATTGCGCCAAGGGGATTCTGGCCTCCGTTCTGGCCTCTCCCTTTCACTGTTGTTGTGCTGACCAGCATTTGAAGCCATGTCTCAGCGTTAACAAGCTGCCTGGTGTGTGAACCTTACAGGTTCCTTCCTCCTCAATGGGCCCCCAGTACCGGGGAGACAGACTGAGCCACTTAACAGTGATGTTAAATGGGCTAGCAGGAGCCTAAGGAGTATTTGCAGGAGGGTGAGAGACACATGAGCTGAGGACTGAAAGCCTGGGAGAGGGACAGAATTGCAACCCAGAGCATGATCAGTGGGCGGCTGCCCTGCCAATCACGTGGGGACAGAGTGTTGATTGTTATGCCCCTCCGCTGTGCTGACAGGGATTCTGCTTTCCCCCTGCCCTGCTTTGTGGGGAGAATGTGGCCCTGGAGTGGGGGGGGGGGGGGGGGGGCTGTGGCCAGCTAGGAACACCAGATGAGTGTGTGTCAGGTAACCCCCTCGTGCACCAGTAATTGACAGCACATGCCGAACGCTGTCCAGGACAGCAAATCACATCAGCGGATGACGACAGTAGTGCAATATTAGCTCTTCTCTGGTGCTGTCGCTCCAACGTTCTCGGAGTGTGTTACGGACATTTAAAGAGGCCTCAGGAGTCCCCTGCTGGTGACTGTTACCCCTGCTTTACTGGTAGGGAAACTGAGGCACAGATAGGTGACGTGACCTAGCCAAAACTAGGAATAGAACCTGGGAGTCCTGATGCTGTCTCACTCGGGCCATCCTCTAAGCAAAGATGGCACCAAAACACTCTGGATCCCACGGTGGGACTTTTCTGCTGGTGGCAGCCAGCCCTTGGCTCCCATGGCTGGGGACAGGGACTGAAAGGTATTCCACCCCCTTGCCCAGTGAGGCTGCAGAGGGAGCCGGGGGGGGCTTCTCGCATGGGACTGGAACTCAGACCCTCGTGTGGCATCGAGTTATGCTGCAGCAGGCGATGCAGAGACTTGGGCCCCAGCCCATTGTCTCCTCGGGAGCTGGCATGTGTACACCAGCCCCTGCCAAGCACCACAATTCCCCGTAATTCCCCCAGTACTTAATGGGGTGCTAGGGAAACACACGGCACCTGTGCTATCAGCTAGGCCTGCCTCTCCTTCCACAGAAGGGAAGAGCAGCCTGGCCCTGTCTGTCTGAGGGACGCATTGGGCCCTCCCTGGCTCATCATTTGTCTCATTTTCTAGGGGTGAAAGCGGGAAGCTGGACCATCTTGGAGATCGTGGAAGCCCTGGGGTGAGAGGAACCCCATATACCTTCTCCCTCTTCCTCCTCCGGCTCAGGAAAGTCAGGGGCTCAGAGTGGAGCTCCCCTCAGGAGCGAGAGTGTTAGAGGCAGAGGGGGCTTTGTGTCGCTCCCCTGGCCTGGAGCTGAGACACCCCCCCCCCCCGGTGCACTCTGGCCGTATCGGTACCATGCAGCGCCCCTTCTGGGGATGAGCATTCATGGAGTTTGGGCTGAGTGCCGCCTCCCTTGCCCAGCCCATGCGTACCGGATTGCTTCAGGAGAATGAATTCTGGGACCCAAACCAAGCAGGAGTCGCCACCAAGTCTTTGCCTGCCAGGATCCAGAGTAACTGCCCCATGCCCCCATCTCCCACGGGAGTTCACTGCTGGCGTGGGCTGCTGGGTGGGTGTTCTCAAGGAAGGGTCCTTGTCCCAGTGCTGCTCCTCCCCCTCAGTCCCTGCGGCCAGTCGGAACCAAGAGCCATTTCTTTGCCTGGCTCCTGGCTGCGTTTGATAACGGAGAACTGGGGTTTCTCTGTTGTGGATGTATTGGGGGTGGGGGAGGGGCCTCTGGTGTCAACTCCGTAGCCCCGGACAGATGACTGAGCGAAGTCCCCCCAGTCCTCCTCCCTCGAGGGCTGGTGGGGGGCTGTATTGCTGAGAGGGGAAGTGACTTTGCCAAGGCCACGCAGCCAGTGTCAGAACTGGGCACAGAGCAAAGTAGTCTTTGCAGCCGGCTCCTGCTCTGACTGCTGCTCTCCCCCTCGCTTGTGCGCACTGAATGGGGCTCTGCTCACCGCAGCCCTCTCGTCTTTCTCCACCCCACCTTTAGGTCCTGCCTTGAGAACACAGAACCTCGCATGCGTGGGCGAGGCCTCCAGCTGCTCTCCCAGGTGCTGCTCCACTGTCACTCCTTGCTCCAAGAGGAAGAAGGTAGGGGATGTGCCAGCCCCCTTCTCCCTGTGTAACTTCAGCCCTGGACACCGGCGTGGGCATTGGTCTAGTAGCTGGGTGACTTACTATGCACATGATGTGCCGGAGCGCAGGGGTGCTCAAACTGGGGGTCATGACGCCTCAGGGGGTCGCAAGGTTATTTCGTGGGCGTCGCGAGCTGTCAGCTTCCACCCCAAACCCCGCTGGTCTCCAGCATTTATAATAGCGTTAAATATAAAAACGTGTTTTTAATTGAAAGGGGGGGTCGCACTCCGAGCCGTGCTGTGTGAAAGGGGTCCCTGTTTGTGCCAGGGCTTGGAGTGTTCCCCTGCAGCAGCAGAGGGCACAGGGGTCCTGTGAGCTGGCACTTTGGGTCTGCTTCCTGCCGCAGTGGCCCCAGGGTGCTCTGGGCTGTGATTCAGGGCAAAGGAACATGATCTGGAACGGGGTGGGGAATCCCAGGCTGCTGCTGTGGCCCTGCTCCTGCCCTGTGATGTCTCACTGCTTGGCTGAGCTGACTTGTCGGCTCCTGGCCCGGTGTTTGCACACGCACTTACGCCCAGGCCCTTATCTGCTTTCGCCCAGATGTGGGCAGAGCTGCTGGTGCAGACCCCACCTCGTTAGTGCTCAGACATGGGGTGCAGAAGGGGCTGTTCTTGGGGTAGAGAGGTGGGGGGGTCGATCCGGGGGAGTGGATGGTGCTGCTGATGGCAGAAAGTCTGCAGCTGCTCCAGAGCCAGGCGTTCACCAGGAAGTGAACTGGGAGGAGAGGTAGATACGCTGGAGGGGAGGGATAGGATACAGAGGGACCTAGACAAATTGGAGGATTGGGCCAAAAGAAATCTGATGAGGTTCAACAAGGACAAGTGCAGAGTCCTGCACTTAGGACGGAAGAATCCCATGCACCGCTACAGACTAGGGACCGAATGGCTCGGCAGCAGTTCTGCGGAAAAGGACCTAGGGGTGACAGTGGACGAGAAGCTGGATATGAGTCAGCAGTGTGCCCTTGTTGCCAAGAAGGCCAATGGCATTTTGGGATGTATAAGTAGGGGCATAGCGAGCAGATCGAGGGACGTGATCGTTCCCCTCTATTCGACATTGGTGAGGCCTCATCTGGAGTACTGTGTCCAGTTTTGGGCCCCACACTACAGGAAGGATGTGGAGAAATTGGAAGGAGTCGAGTGGAGGGCAACAAAAATTATTAGGGGTCTGGAGCACATGACTTATGAAGAGAGGCTGAGAGAACTGGGATTGTTTAGTCTGTGGAAGAGAAGAATGAGGGGGGATTTGATAGCTGCCTTCAACTACCTGAAAGGGGGCTCCAAAGAGGATGGCTCTAGACTGTTCTCAGTGGCAGCAGATGACAGAACGAGGAGTAATGGTCTCAAGTTGTAGTGGGGGAGGTTTAGGTTGGATATCAGGAAAAACTTTTTGACTAGGAGGGTGGTGAAACACTGGAATGCGTTATCTAGGGAGGTGGTGGAATCTCCTTCCTTAGAGGTTTTTAAGGCCCGGCTTGACAAAGCCCTGGCTGGGATGATTTAGTCGGGGATTGGTCCTGCTTTGAGCAGGGGGTTGGACTAGATGACCTCCAGAGGTCCCTTCCAACCCTGATATTCTATGATTCTAAGTGGCCTGGCAGCTGGCTCTGCTGCCCAGTCCCAGGTGCCATGGCTCTCCGGGAGGTGTGGGCTCAGCCCGCAGAGCTGGGGTTGGGGGTCTAATATGTCGGGCGTTTGTTTCCGTGCAGTGACGCACCTGGTCCTGTTCTGTGAGAACCGGCTGAAGGATCATCACCTTGTGATCCCTGCTGTGCTGCAGGGACTCCACGCGCTGGTGAGCTCGCTTCTCCTGCTGCTGCACCCCCTCTCCGCCCGGCCGGGAGAAGGATTCCAGGGCAGAGCTGGGAACCAGCAACATCTGTCTGTCTGGGGGGACACGGGAGTCTGCTAGTCTGTTGGCACCTGCTGTGGCCTGTCGGATACTTCCGAAGAAGCTGAAGCCACCTCTAATGCATGTGAACGATGCTCGGGAGGGGGACGGGGGACGACACAGATGCCCTCCTGACCCTGTGGGGGGGCAGGGACAACTTAGACCCTGAAGCATGAGGTTGGATCACCCTTATTATGTGTTAATGGCCATGGACTAGCTCCTCCCCAGGAGCGGGTGGGTCCCTCTGGCGCAGGATTTGGCTGGGCAGAGGTGATTGAATCGTTAGTGTGATTAGCCTATGGGCTGCCTGACATTAGGCTGTGCAGAGTGTGAGGGTACAGCTGGTAAATCCTGTCCTGTGTGTTGGGGGGGGATAGCATGGGGCCATCCCACTCTGCTGCAGATCACCTTCCGGTGGTGGTTGGCAGCTCTGCGCTGTACCTTACTTTTCTCTTCCTGTGTCCCCAGAGCATGTGCGAGGTGCTGGCCCCAGGCCTGGCTGTGTCCGTGCTCAAAGCCATCTTCCAGGAGGTGCATGTTCAGGTGAGCGGCCAGAGCCCGTCTGTCACACCCCTTCGCGGGCCCTTCCCAGCTGCTGTCCGCGCCCCCATGGGCCAGGGTAATGTGTCGCGTGCATGGTCTGGTGAGTCAGGCTGCGCAAGTGCCTCTCGGCTACATCTCCTGCTCCTGCGTCCCTCCTGCATGGCGGTGTGGATCGAGCCATGCCCGGAGGAGGGCAGCGCTGGTCCCTGGGGACTCCCTGCTGGCTGGCTGCTCTGGAGCCAGCTGCCTCCTGGGGAGTAATTGGAAAAGTCTCAACGAGCAGAGCCTTGGGTCCCATCTGTCCAGGGCGGGACTGGGCCCTTCAGGCTGTTCTGCAGGCCAGGGTTAGACCTCCAAGCAACGGGTATTCCACCTGTTCTTGGAGGAGATCGACCAGCCTAACCTCCTTGTTTAATGCCCTCGCACTCCTGCTCGCATCCCTGTGTGCCACACTAACTTCCCTCCCCCGGGGCGCACGTCCCTTCACCCAGCAGCACCGTGTGTCATAGTCCCTCCAGCCCCAAGTCAGCTCTGGATCACACGTGTGTTCTCCTAACTCCTCCACTCTTTCCCTTCAGTCCCTGCCACAGCTGGATCGCCACACGGTCTACAGCATCATCACCAACTTCATGCGCACCAGAGAGGAAGGTAAGGCAGGGAAACAACCCACTGGAAGTGGGGAGGATGGGCGCTGTGGCCTGGCTGAGGGCGTGGGGGACTCGGTGGCAGTGCCCTGTGGCTTGGCCCAGCGGCTGGGCTGTGGGGACCCTGGGCCATTGTTGTGCATTCTCCTTCCCTCTGCAGAGCTGAAGGGCCTGGGCGCCGACTTCACTTTCGGCTTCATCCAGGTGATGGACGGGGAGAAGGACCCTCGCAATCTGCTGGTTGCCTTCCAGATCGTCCGCGACCTCATCCTCAAGGACTATGTGCTGGGTAAGCGCCTGGCAGCCCTGCCGCCCTCTGCTCTGCAGGCAGCTTGGGGGGCACCTGCTGTTGGAGGGGCCTGCCTCCTGGGCAGCCACCACCCTCGGAAGCCCCTGTGATCCTGAGCTGCCTTGGGCTGGCTCCAGAGCTACTGGATCCTGGCCTGGTCTCCTGTGGGGCTGGCCCTGGGGCTGAGCCATCTCTGCTCTCTCCCCGCAGGTCCCTTCGTGGAGGAACTCTTTGAAGTGACGTCCTGCTACTTCCCCATTGATTTTACTCCTGTGAGTGAGTCTCTCCTCCCCATACCTTCTGCATTGCCTGTCAGCGCGCTCCCATGGGGCCAGGGCTGGGGGTAAGCGGGGCAAGGTGAGAACCGAGGCTCGTGAGTGTCCCATTGTGGGTCTCGGTGTCCTAGGCAGTGTGCGTGAGGCCAGGTTCGTTTGACTGGTATTGCTGGTCTCTGGTCCCTTTGTTTCCTATCTTTTAAACAGTTACCAACCCATGAGAGGATCATGGATTTTATCCCATGACAGGTTTCAGAGTAGCAGCCGTGTTAGTCTGTATCCGTAAAAAGAAAAGGAGGACTTGTGGCACCTTAGTCTGCCACAAGTCCTCCGTTTCTTTTTATCCCATGACAGTTTACTTTACTTAAGAGCCTTTGGTGAGGGTCCTTGTCAAAGACTTTCTGAAAGTCCAGATACACTATATCCACTGGATCCCCCTTGTCCACATGCTTGTTGACATTCTCAGAAAATTCTGGTAGATTGGTGAGGCATTTTCCCTTTGCAAAAACCATGTTGACGCTTCCCCCAACAAATCATGTTCATCTCTGTCTGGTAACTCTGTTCTTGACTCTACTTTCAGCCAGTTTCCCTGGTACTGAAGTCAGCCTCACTGGCCTGTCATTGCCAGGATCGGCTCTGGAGCCTTTTTAAAAAAATGAGTGTCCCATTAACTCTCCGCCAGTCACCTGGTCCAGAGGCTGATTGAAGCAATCGCTTTGGTTACACACAATTAATAATTATGCAATTTCACATCTGAGTTCCTTCAGAACCCTTGGGTGAATCCCATCTGGTCCTGGGGACGTATTGCTGTTTATCAATTTGTTCCAAACCCTCCTCTAGTGACCCCTCAGCCTGGGACAGTTCCTCAGATTGTCACCTAAAAAGAATGGCTCAGGCGTGGGAATCTCCCTCGCACCCTCAGCCGTGAAGACCAAAGCAAAGAAACTCGTCAGAGTCCATGCTCCTTTCTGTTTTCCTCAGTAGGGTTTGATTTGCAGGGTTTAAAAGATGCCTTTTTTTCTCTAATGGCCTCTCTTACTCTGTGGTTCAGCCCTGGTGGCATGTTTTGCTGCTCGTTCTGTTCTGTTCTTTGGGGAATTTGTCTGACGGGCTTCCTGCTCTTTGTGCTTCTGTTCCAGCCCCCCAATGACCCTCATTGCATTCAGAGAGAGGACCTGATTGTGAGCCTCCGGGCTGTGCTGGCCTCCACACCCCAGTTTGCCGAGGTACGATGCCCCTGGGGTGGGGAGCAGCAGCTACACAAAGGAGCATCACCCTTCTGAGGTGGAGGGAGGGTGGGCTGGTGTTTCTGTGCCCTGGGCTCTGGGTTGTAGTGCGGGAGAGGACCAGATGTGCTGGTCTGGGCTCTGGACACTGGCCCCTCTCCAGAGCAGCGGGCAGCACCTCTGAGGAGAGCCGGCTCCCTGCATGGTGCACTGTGGTGGGAGGAGGGAATTCCCAGATCCCAGGGCCATTGTGATAGTCTGGTCTGACCCCCTGTCTGCCAGGCTGGAGATCTGCCCTGAAATAATCCCTAGGGCTGGTTCCTTAAACAAACATCCCAGCTTGATTTAAAGTTGGCACGTGCCAGAGAATCCATCTGCCCCTGAGGGCATGGTCCCCTTGGTTGGTGACCCTCCTTGTCACAAATGTATGCCACCATTTGCGTGTGGGTGGCTGGGCCCCAGAGCGAGGACCGGCCAGGCTGGCTCTGGGCTGCTGGGCACTGACGCCAAGCGCGGTGGGCGAAGACCTGCTCTGGGGAAACAGTGCTAGGTCTGTGTTCTGGTGGAGGATGGCAGCTGATGGGTTGGGCCTCCCCTGGAAAGGGCTGCAAGCCCTGGCAGGTGCCCCTGTGTGCCCTGCCCTGCGAGCTCAGGATGGCTGCTGGCAGCCGTGCATTGGGGAAGGCTCTGCACTCGCAGCCCTGCCTCCGTCTGGGGACGGGGAAGTTCCAGGTCCTAGGCGGGGAGCTGGCGGCGTGGGCGCAGCTGCTGGGCTGGGTCCAGGGAGCCTAACCACCTCTCTCTCGCCGCAGTTCCTGCTGCCGCTGCTAATCGAGAAGATGGACTCGGAGATGCAGAGCGCCAAGCTGGACTCCCTGCAGACCCTGGTACGGGGAACGGGCTGGAGCACCGGGTCTCTTCTCTTTGGCCCTAATGTGGTTGTCCCTGCAGCCCTGCCCACAGCCAGCCTGGCAGGCTGAGCCCTCTGGCAGGCGGGGGATGTCCCTGCTCTCTGGCCTCCTCCCTTGCTGGCTCTTCCTAACGTCTGTCCTGGCTCCCTCCTGCAGGGCGCCTGTTGTACCATCTACGGGCAGAAGGAGCTGCAGGAATTTCTCCCCAGCCTCTGGTCATCCCTGCGCAGGGAGGTGAGTGCAGCTGGGGGCAGGAGTCTTCCGCATCCCCGCAGGAGAGCCCCAGAGCACTGCGGTCGGCCCTGGCTGAGCCCTGGCAGCCCTGCCCAGAACACGAGGGTTGGGGGGAACCAGGGCAAACCCCAGACCCCATCGGGGCTTTTGGGGAGTGCATTTGGGGCGGGGCCCTGTGCTCCGTTTCCAGAGCTAGTGGGAGTGGGGTCCGTCTCCCTCTGGCTGGCATCTGAGCACGTCTGACTTCCTCCCGCAGGTGTTCCAGACGGCCAGCGAGAAGGTCGAGGCGGAGGCTCTGGCTGCGCTGCACAGCCTGGCTGCCTGCCTGTCCCGCTGCGTGCTCAGCTCAGACGCTGAGGACCTGCTAGACTCCTTCCTGAGCGGCATCCTGCAAGGTACCTCCTGGAGGGGCCCTGCACGGCGCCCACGCCTGGCTCTGGGGCCCACATGCACTGAGTGTCCCCTCCCGGCTCTCCCCACTGCCACTCTGAATCCTGTTCCCCCTCTGCGGGCCCCGAGCGGGACAGGCCTGGGGAACTGCCAGGGTCGCACCCTTCCCTGCAGAGGGTTGGCATGGCAGGGGCGCCCGTGGGCTCCGGGTGGAGGAGAGTCCTGCAGCTGGGTGAGCGGAGAGCAGCAGCGTGGCCTGGGGCTCCTGGGGGCGTAGCTGACGCCTGCTCTCTCAGACTGCAGACGCCATCTGTGCGAGCCTGATATGAAGCTGGTGTGGCCGAGCGCCAAGCTCCTGCAGGCAGCGGCGGGCGCCTCCTTCCGAGCCGGCCACCGGATCACCAGCAGCGTCGTGCCCCTGCTGCTGGAGCAGTACCACCAACACCCGCAGGTGAGGGGCGCCCGCCAGTCTGCACCGGGGGGCCTGGCGCCGGGACGCTGCACGGGACCCAGCTCTGAGCAGTGGCCTCTGACCGGCTGTGCCTTTGCTCCCTTGTAGAACAGCCAGCGGAGGACAATCCTGGAGATGCTTCTGGGCTTCTTGGAGCTGCAGCAGAAGTGGGGGCATGAGGATGAAGGTGAGGCTGTTAACTCCCCCACCCACCCAGCATGGGGGGGCCATTACCTGCTTCCGAGGTGCCCCCGACGGTCCGGACTGGTCCTAGGTGCTGCCCGTTGCCCTGAGCTCGGCAGGGATGGGCTGTTCGTGTTTTAAACTGACCTGCAGATGAACCAGCTGCTGCGTTCCACCGCAGAGGTCGCTGCACTCCTGTGGTGGGTGAGGTGTGCTGGTGTGAAATCTGCGCAGCCCTCAGGCCGGACGGTGCCTGGGCCGGAGGCTATGTCCCCACCACTCCCCTGGTTCCTGCGGGGTGGCCGTGCTGGGATTTGTGCCCACAGGGCCCTGACGCTGTCTGTCCGTCCCCTAGAGGAGAGCGCCCTGCTGTGTTCCCGAGCCCCGCTCTGCTCCGTGCTGTTCTCGGCGCTGACGGACCCCAGCGTGCAGCTGCAGTTGGTGGGGATCCAAGCCCTGACCGTCCTGGGCACGCTGCCAGGTTGGTGTCTCCCCGGAGGGGGGGGGGGGCTGTCTGGTTATGGGCTGGTGTCAGTCCCTTGCAGGGCGCTGACCATAGCTGGTGCTCTGGGGCCCTGTTCCCCTCCTGCTGGGCTGTCCCATGGCCCTGCCAGTGCTGTGCTGGGGCACCACCTGGGGGCACTAGATGGTGCTGCAGGCCGTGGGGGCGGGTCGTAGCCTGGTGCCCGCTGGGCAGTGCCCTGGGCCTGACGTCGAGCTGTGGGAGCTCAGCCATGTCTCTCGGTTCAGGCCTCCTGGCTCCCCCCGATGTGCAGCTGGTCGTGGATCACCTGACCCGGCTCATCTTGCATGCGGACGATTCCCAGAGCTGGTGAGTGGCTGTGCGGGTCCCCGGCCTGTGGGCAGGCCTGTTGTCACGGAGTCCCCAGACGATGCTCTGGAACTGCTCCCTACGAAGCCAGGCAGGACTCCGGTGAGGTCTCCTCTCTGGGAGCTGCCTGTCTGGAGGGCAAGAAGCTCACACAGCTTCCACCTTCCTGGGTCTGACCTCGGAGCATTCAGCATCCTCTGTCCCTCCGTGCACTTCCACCAGTGAGTCCGCCCAGGCGGGGGCCTGGGGGAGCCAGAGAGTCCTGCCCCCCAACTTCGCAGTCAGACGTGACTCTCAGCCAGCCAGTAAAACAGAGGCTTTAGACGACAGGAACATGGTCTAACACAGAGCTTGTAGGTGCAGAGAACAGGACCCCTCAGCCGGGTCCATTTTGGGGGGCAGTGAGCCAGACAACCCCATCTGCACTTCACTCCTTGTCCCCAGCCAGCCCCAAACTGACTCCCCCTCCAGCCCCTCACCCTATGGGCTTTGTCCGTTTCCCCGGATTCCTTTGTTCTCCAACCCTTGGGGGAAGGGCCAGGCCATCAGTGGCCAGGAGACAGAGTGTCGGCCATTTATATACCCTGGTCCTTTGCTCTGCAACAATTACAGCCCCTTATCCCACCACGTGGAGACTTAAGAAATGCCATGGGGAAACTGAGGCACTCCTACAGTTTTCAGAGAAAACATTAAGAACAGTCCCACTTTGTCACACCTGGCTAGAACAAACCCAGGTCGCCTGTGGTGGGCTGGGGCCCCACTGGGCTCTTGGGGTCCTGGGTGCCCTGCACCCCAAGAACCATACTGGGGCCTGCCGCGGGAATGGAGGAGTGACCAGGGGTTGGGGCGAAGCCACCAGCTCCCCTATTGAGGGGCTGCGAACCCAGCCTGTCTCCCCTGTGCTCTGAGCCCTTTGCCTGCTGCCTGTGGCTTGGGTGGCCATGTTGGGACCCTGCTGGCCCTACCCGGCAGCTCTCACCTCTTCTTTTCCTCCCCCGCAGCATGGCCGCAATGGAGGCCGCAGGATCTCTGGCCCCCATCTACCCAGGGGCCTTCACGGGGCGCATGGCGCAGAGGCTCGCAGAGGAGTTGCAGTCAGGTACTGGGGCCTGGCTGGTGTGGGAGGGAGGCAATTCTCCACTTGGGGGAAGGTCCCATCACCTCCACCCTGGGAGAGGCTGTGTCACGGAGTCCCTGGGCGATGCTCTGGAACTGCTCCCCATGAAGCCAGTCAGGACTCTGGGGCAGTCGCCTTTCTGTGAGCAGCCTGTCTTCAGGACACACAGCTCACACAGCTTCCACCTTCCTGGGTCTGACCTCGGAGAATTCAGCATCCTCTGCCCCTCCGTGCGCTTCCCCCCAGCGAGTCCGCTCAGGCAGGGCTCCTGGGGAAGCCAGAGGGTCCTGCCCCCAAACTCCGCAGTCAGACGGGACTCTCAGCCAGCCAGTAAAACAGAGGTTTATTAGATGACAGGAACATGGTCTAAAACAGAGCTTGCAGGTGCAGAGAACAGGACCCCTCAGCTGGGTCCATTTTGGGGGGGCAGTGAGCCAGACAACCACGTCTGCCCTTCACTCCATGTCCCAGCCAGCCCCAAACTGAAACCCCCTCCAGCCCCTCCTCCTCTGGGCTTTGTCCCTTTCCCAGGCCAGGAGGTCACCTGATTCCTTTGTTCTCCAACCCTTTAGCTCTCACCTTGCAGGGGGGAAGGGCCCAGGCCATCAGTTGCCAGGAAACAGGGTGTCGGCCATTCTCTGTGTCCAGACTCCTGCACACACCTGCCCTCTAGGGCTCTGCAATGATCATACACCCTTAACCCACACCCTAGATACTTAAGAACTGCCTAGGGGAAACTGAGGCACCCCCACACCACTCGGAGGAAACATCAAGAACAGTCCCACTTCGTCACAGGCTGGGACCCCTGTTCTCTTCCTCTTCTCCCCCCCCCCCCCGTCACTGCAGTGCTCATGCCATGCTGTACGGAGCCATGCCCCCCTCACTGGGACCCCCCCCTCACTCCCCTGTTATTGCCGTGCCCGTGCTATGCCCAGCTCCTAGATGGAGGTGCTATAAAGTGGGTGCATAATTGGCTGAAAAACCGTTCCCAGCGAGGAGGTATCAGTGGTACACAGTCAAGCTGGAAGGGCATCACGAGTGGGGTCCCGCAGGGATCGGTTCTGGGTCTGGTTCTGTTCAATATCTTCATCAACGATTTAGATAATGGCATAGAGAGTATTGAGGATGATACCAAGCTGGGAGGGGCTGCAAGTGCTTCGGAGGACAGGATTAAAATTCAAAATGATCTGGATAAACTGGAGGAATGGTCTGAAGTAAACAGGATGAAATTCAATAAGGACAAATGGAAAGTACTCCACGTAGGAAGGAACAATCAGTTGCACACATACAAAATAGGAAATGACTGCCTAGGAAGGAGTACTGTGGAAAGAGATCTGGGGTCATAGTGGATCACAAGCTAAATATGAGTCAACAGTGTAACGCTGTTCCAAAAAAAAGCGAACATCACTCTGGGCTGTCTTAGTGGGAGTGTTGTAAGCAAGACACAAAAATTAATTTTTCTGCTCTACTCTGTGTTGATTAGGCCCCAACTGGAGTCTTGTGTCCAGTTCTGGGCACCACATTTCAGGAAAGATGCAAACAAATCGGAGAGAGTCCAGAGGAGAACAACACAAATGATGGAAGGTCTAGAAAACATGACCTATGAGGGAAGATTGAAAAAACTGGGTTTGTTTAGTCTGGAGAAGAGAAGAATGAGAGGGGACATGAGAACAGTGTCAAGTACATAAAAGGTTGTTACAAGGAGGAGGGAGAAGAACTGTTGTTCTTGACCTCTGAGAACAGGACAAGACGCAACAGGCTTAAATTGCAGCCAGGGAGGTTTAGGTTGGACCTTAGGAAAAACTTCCTGTCAGGGTGGTGAAGCCCTGGGACAAATTGCCCAGGGGGTTGTGGAATCTCCATCACTGGAGATTTTGAAGAGCAGGTTAGGAAACACCTGTCAGGGATGGTCTAGATAATACTTAGTCCTGCCATGAGTGCAGGGACTGGACTAGATGACCTCTCGAGGTCCCTTCCAGTTCTTCGATTCTCTGATTCTAAGCTATACAGAGCTGTGCCCCCCTCTTGCTGGGACTCCCCTCCCTCCTGTCACTGCCGTGTTCACAGGGGCCCTTCTGCTGCGGCCTGGCCCTGGTGTTCAGTGCAGAACTGGCTCCCTGATGGCCATGCCATGGCAGCATCGCCCAGTTTGGGGAGGGCATCCCAGCTCCTAGGTCCGGGCTGGGCCCGGCTCTGGAGGTGCTCAAAGGGGCTGGGCTAAGGGTGGATCCCAGCTGGGGAGGTGAGGCTGTGCCCGGTCTCCATTCTCTCTGCTCCCCCACCACCGCCGTCATCCGGAGCCACCTGCCTGTGCCCTGGATCTCATCCATGTGCCGCTTCTTTCAGAGCGGGAGGAGGAGGGCAGGCAATCCCCGCACTCCCTGCGGGCCCGCTGCCTGCAGGCGCTGGCAGCGGTGTCCACACACCCCAGGATAGTGCGAGAGACGGTTCCTGTCCTGCTGCAGTGTCTGCAGCAGGTGCCGAAAGGTAAAGCCACCTGGGAATCCTGCCGGAGCCTTCGTGGGTTCCTGAGGGGACTGGCAGGGGCATCCACAGAGATCTGTGTGCGTGGGCTGGAGTCCAGGGCTGGGCTACCAGGGGGCTGCGGGTCAGGGTTGAGGGGTGTCAGCAAAGCCTTGGGGGAGGGGAGGCGCCCAGGGCTGGGCTACCAGGGGGCTGCAGGCCGGGGTTGAGGGGTGTCAGCAAAGCCTCGGGGGAGGGGAGGCGCCCAGGGCTGGGCTACCAGGGGGCTGCGGGCCGGGGTTGAGGGGTGTCAGCAAAGCCTCGGGGGAGGGGAGGCGCCCAGGGCTGGGCTACCAGGGGGCTGCGGGCCGGGGTTGAGGGGTGTCAGCAAAGCCTCGGGGGAGGGGAGGCGCCCAGGGCTGGGCTACCAGGGGGCTGCGGGCCGGGGTTGAGGGGCATTAGCAGAGCTGGTACCTTGCCAGCGCCTCATGGGCTGGAGCTTCGAGCTGGCCCGGGGGCACTTCATAAATTGTCCGTGTGCTGCTTGGCATCTGCCAGCTCCTGAGCCCCTGCGGGGGGGTGCCAGCGGGGGGGTTCATGGGACTCTCTGCCCTGCAGGGAACGTGCCGGTGGGGGCCTGCGACCTGGTGGCCGTGTGCCAGAGCCTGCAGCGGGTGGCCCTGCAGTGCCAGCGGGATGCCGAGAGCTGCTGGTACTGCCACCGGACTGTGGTGCCCCGCCTGCTTGCGGAGGCGGTGCAGGCCGCCATGCAAGGTGAGGCCCAGGCTCGGGCATGGAAGGGGGCCGTCTGGGTCTCGCTGCCTCCTTGGGGTCAGACCAGGGGCTTCTGGCTGGAGAGCAGCCACAGGGCGCCCAGGAGGGACGCTGTCCCTGTGGCTGGGCAGCCAATAGGCCGGCCCGGCTGCCCTGCCAGGCGTGGCGCCCAGGGGAGGGGCTGTCACAGCCTGGAGCGCCAAAGGGAGGGTCCCCCATCCCTGCTGGTCCCCTCGGTGGCAGGGCCCGGCCCCTGCTGGTGAGAGGACCTGCAATGGCCACGCTGGCCTTGTAGCCCTTCTCCTGACTCTGCTAGTGCCCGGGAGCACTCTGCGGGTGCCTGAGCCCACGCTGCAGGAGCAGTGGCAGGTCCCCCCACGGGTGGGCTGCAGGCAGGCTCTGACTTGGCCCTTTCCTCGCTGCTGGCTGCAGAGAATGCCCATTCGCCACTGGGGAAGCTGCTGCTGGAGGAGGATGTCTTGACTGCCATGGTGCCCGTCATCAGCGCGGCCAGCGCCCACCTGTGCCCTGAGTGAGTAACACCAGCACCCCAGGGCAGGCCACTGGGGCTCTGAATGGGTCGCCCTGGGGCCACGTCACGGAGCCACAGGGGCGGTGCTATGGCCCCAGCTTGGGCGGAGCCCTTCAGTGTGCTAGACCCCCTGGATAAACCTCCCGGCTTCCCCACCTCCTTAGCCTGGACCCCAGCCCTGCAGCCCCCCTGAGCTCCGGGCAGCAGGTCCAGCTGGGAGAGCCCCCGAGGGAGGCTTGTGCATTAGCCCCTGAAGTTTGCCCCTCGGCCAGCATTTACAGCGACTTCCCCAGCGCTGTCAGACAGTCGGGTTTGTTCGGTAACTGGCCACGACCCAGGCCAGCGGTCAAGTCGCCCAGAGAACTGAAGGTTACAGCACGGCCCATTCTGGGGAGCCCAGAGCCCGGCCAGGCTGTAGGGAGGCCCTGGGTTCCAGCTGTGTCAGGCTCTGACCCCCTTGGTCCGACTCTCAGTGAGAGCCCCGACTTCTTCAAGCAGCCCCCTCTGAGCCCCCCACCCCCTTCCCAGCCCTTTTGATCTCCAGCTGGGGGGCATGTCTCAGCCTCCTTGCGCAGAGGTGGGGAGATCTCTGTCCCCTGGGGTACTGGGTGTAAGTGTCCTGGGGACTGGATTTGCCATCGGCATCTCAAATCTCCACTGATCTGGGGCCAGGCCCAGACAGCCAGGCGACGCCCCACCCTTGTCTCAGCCTGTCCTGAGAGGAAAGAGTCCTATCCCACCCACGGGGGAACAGTGCAGGGGAAACTGAGGCATGTCAGACTCATAAAATATTACAAAAATTTTCCACTTTGTCCCATCACATGCCCGTCCTGCTGCTCAGCCCCCGGCTCTGTCCCTTGGGGAGGCAGGGCTGAGCGAAGAGGGGCTGTTCCCTTGCCGTGGGGGGCGCTGTGACTCTGGGTGGAAGTGTTGTTCTCCTGACCTGCCTGGCCACAGCTGCTCCGGGCTCTCTCCAGAGCAGCACATCCCAGCATCTCTGAGGCTCCTGCTTGTCTCCCCCTCTCCCCGCAGGCTGGCTGCCCAGAGCGTCTCGCAGGTGGTGCCCCTCTTCCTGGATGGGGAGGTCTCCTTCCTGCCTCAGGACAGCTTTCCCTGCCCCTTCCAGCCCTTCCAGGTGAGTGGGGGTGCAGGGAAGGGCTGGGGCTGCGGGGGGCTGGGGCGCGGGCAGTTGGTGACACTGGCGTTGCTCTTCCCTTGCAGGGCGGGCAGCACATGGCAGCACAGAGACGCCTCGTCGCCCTGCTCATGGCCTTCGTCTGCGCCTTGCCCAGGAACGTAAGTTGGGGGATGGGACCTCACCTGGATTCACGGGGCTGGAGGGGCCGGGGTGAACCGGGGGCAGTGTGGATGCGGCATGGGCAGCGTCTCTGGGATTGGCAGCTCTGGGGTTTGAGTACCCAGCGTCCATACTGGGTTCTGATCTCTTCCAGGTGCCGATTCCCCAGCAGGACAGGCTGCTGCAGGAGCTGCTGGCTCTGAGCTGCTCCTGCCACTGCCCCTTCACAGCCACCGCGGCTGCTAAGTGCTTCGCGGGGCTGGTGAACAAGTCCCCGGCAGGTAAGAGGGTGGGGCAGGCGCTGACCAGTCTCCACTCCGCTGGGCCAGCCTCAGGGGCACTCGGCCTGGGCGCTGCAGGACTCCATCCCTCTGTCCCCTCTGTCCCCCCAGGGCAGCAGCTGGACCAGCTCTTGGAGACAGCAGTGAACAGGATGGAGGCCGGCCTTGCCGAGGGCCCGCTCAGAACCCAGGCCCTCACCCTGCTCCTCTGGGTAAGGACAGCAGCCTGGGCTGGAGGGGCCAGCTGGCTGTGCCCGCCTGGCTCTCCGGGGCCAGCTGACTGTTCTCTCTGCCCCTGCAGGTGACCAAAGCCCTGGTGCTGCGCTACCATCCGCTGAGCTCCCGCCTGACAGACAAGGTGAGCGGCCAACCCCCCCGTGAGACGATGCGCGGGGAGGCCCTGGGGACCCTGCCCCTCTCCGTAGGCCTGGGAGAGGCCCTGTCAGCCCGGGGCGCCTGCCCTCGCTCAGCCTCATGGTTCCTCTCTCCCCCTGCAGTTGCTGGGCCTCCTGGGCGACGCTGAGCTGGGCCCCGCGGTGGCCGACGGCTTCTCCCTGCTCATGGCCGACTCCCCCGACGTGCTGCACAAGGGGTGTCACGCCGACGTGCGCATCATGTTCCGCCAGCGCTTCTTCACCGACAACGTGCCCAAGCTGGTCCAGGGCTTCCATGCCGCCGGCCCCGGTGAGCCCACCGGTCCCCCCGCCCCTGGGTCGCTCCCACCCCCCGGGCTGCCCCCTGCTGCCCCCTGGGTCGTTCCCACCCCCTGGGCTGCCCCCTGGGCCCCTCCCGCCCCTGGGTCGCTCCCACCCCCTGGGCTGCCCCCTGCCACCTGCCCCTCCCGCCCCTGGGTCGCTCCCACCCCCTGGTCCCTCCCAGGAACGGGGCTGTGATCTGCTTCCCTCTGCTCTCCCCAGGCGTGAAGGCAAATTACCTGAAGGGCCTGTCTCATGTGCTGAACCACCTGCCCAGGCCGGTGCTGGTGACGGAGCTGCCCACGGTGAGTGCTGGGCTGGCAGGGCAGGGCCGGGGGTGCTGAGCTGACAGATCGCTCACAGCCTGTGTCCCCCCAGCTGCTGTCTCTGCTGCTCGAGGCCTTATCCTGCCCAGACCGCGTGGTGCAGCTCTCCACCCTCAGCTGCCTGCAGCCCCTGCTGCTGGAGGCGCCGCATGTCATGAGCCTGCACGTCGACACCTTGGTCACCAAGTTCCTGGGCCTGACCTCTAGCCCCGCCATGGTGCGTGCCCCTGCCCCTCTCCCTTCCCCGCCCCGCTGCTGCCCACGCTCACCCCGGCTCGCTCTCTCTTCCAGGCCATCCGCATTGCTGCGCTGCAGTGTGTCCATGCGCTCACCAGCCTGCCCATCCCCGTGGTAAGTGCCCGCTCCCAGCAGCCTGCCCACGCAGGCCTGGCCACCTTCCTTGGGAGACAGGTGCGGCTCAGCAGGCCGGACATGGTCTGGGCTCGCTGGGGTAAGGCGAGTGCCAGGGACCACGGCTAAGGGCCAGGCGGACCATGGGTAAGATAGAGCCTGGTGCCCAGGATGGGGTCCCCCGCAGCGGAAGGGGTGAACCCCAGCGGGAAGGAGGGGCTGTGGGGTCTGGAGCGGGCTGAGCACTGCTCTGTACTGCCCCCGGGGGCGTGGAGGGCGTAGAGGCTCACTAGGGCAGTTCAGACGTCCCCTGTCGGGGACCTGGGGCTACCAGCCAAGCACAGGCTGGCCGTCCCCCTGCACACCGGCCCCATGCCCCCGCTGACAGGCAGCACTCTCCCCTCCAGCTGCTCCCGTACAAGCCGCGTGTGATCCGGGCCCTGGCCAGACCCTTGGACGACCTGAAGCGGCTGGTGCGGAAGGAGGCGGTGGTGGCCCGTGGGGAATGGTGAGTGCTGGGGGGTGCGGCAGGGGGCTCCCGGGACAGCCTGGAGCCCACCCCGACCATGCTGCCTGTTCTGTGTCTGCAGGTTCCTGCTGGGGAGCCCAGGCAGGTGAGGCCCTGCACGAGCTCCTGCACTGACTGACAATCGAACCAGGACCCACTCACCAGCCAAGCCCTTCAGCCGCTGCCCTGGCCCAAGCTTCCCAGAGCGGGGAGGGAAGGGCGGCCGGAGGCCAGCCTGCTCCAAGCACAACGGCGGAGGTGCGGGGCGGCCCTGCTCCTGCTGGCTGCAGTGCTGGAGGGAAGGCAGGCGCCTGGCCGTGCACACTTACAGGCAGCGCATGGAATCCATGGGCCAGCCGAATAAACACACGTTTTGCTAATGGCCTGAGTGGGGAAGATGGCTGGGGTGAGGGGCCAGAGGCTGCTGCTGAGGAGGTGTGAGCCCACCAGGGGCCCTGGAGCTGGCCCCTGCAGGCGAGGGTTTGGCCTGGCCCGGGGTTTCTCCAGGGCTTAGTCAAGTCTGGGTCTGAAGGTCCCAGGGACCACCTGAGCCTGCATGTCCCTCCTGCACTCCGCCAGCTGGAGGGGTTTGCTCCCTGGGGTCCTGTTAATTGCCCCACTCCCTGCCCCTTTCAGGGCTTTGCAGTGTCCTGCAGGCAGGGGCCCCACTCTAGAAGGGCCCTCCTGTTCCCAAAGCTGGCCTTCCCCACTCATGTCTATGCCGGCTCTGTCCAGCAGCAGCACCCGCTCATCCCCTGCTGGCTGGCGGGGGCAGCGCCCCTCAGGCTGGGTGCCACACCGCCCCTGCTTTGCCCAAGGTCAGCCCAGGACTCAGGTCCCTGGGCTTTCAGCCCTGTGCCCTAACTGCTGGCCCGTGCTGCTTCGGGCCCTCAGGGTGGGTTCAGTCCGTACCCTGTGTCCTCTAGTAGAGCAGCCCGACCAACCCTGCTGCCCCAGGAGCTGGCTGTTCCCTGCCTCCGGGGCAGGGTCACAGCTCTCCAGCTGCAGGAACCCCCGAGCTGGTGCCCCCTATGTGCATTCTGCCTCAGTGGGCAAAGCTTCCCCCTGCCACTCAGCCCCCGGCAGGCTGCCCCAGGGCTGGAACCGGCAGGACAGCAGCAGGTAACACTCCAGCTGCATTAGTGAAAACTTTTTTTTTTATTTCTGGCATTTAAAATCCCCTGTGGGGGAGGGAAGAAGAGAGGCCCCCAGCAGCTCCATGCCCTGAGTGCCAGCTGGGGAGTCTCTGCTGTCCTGTACGTGTGAGTGCCCTGGGCCCTGCCCCACATGCAGGTGCCGTGGGGTACGGGCTCAGCCCCGCAGAGAGCCACCCTGCACATGCTGCCCACCTGTCCCTGTGTCTCCAGAACGCAGCATGTCACCCCCAGGCACCGCGAGCTGCCTGCAGCCACGCTGGGGCTTGCTGGAGGGGTCAGTGAGCGGAGGACACCCCGAGGAGGTTCTGCTGGTTCCAGGCTCTGCTGGCCCGGGCTGGGGGGCGGGTACCACAACCTGCGCCTCTGCCCCGATGTCCATTAGATGGCCAGGAGAGGTGCACGTGGCTCTGTCACGCAGGGAGGCCGGTCCCAGCTCAGGCCAGTTCCATGGGGCAGGTGTGTAGAAGGCAGCAGGACACGGATGAGCCAGTGTCTGGGGGAGGGAACAGAGCCCCTTGGTGAGAAGATGAGCCCTGGCTACCAGTCCCCATGTGGGGGCCAGGCTGGCTCCAGCCTCAGCCCCTCTGGCCCTGCCCTCCCCCAGGCGGTGCCAGTATCCACCTTGCCAGGGGCCCCCAGTGCTGTAGTACAAGGGGCCCTCAGAGCCCATGTGTTGGGGGGGCTCTGGGCCAGGCTCTAACATCCTCCATAGGTGACCACAAGGGCCAGCTACCAGCCTGGTGAGTTTAAAGCAGCAGGGGACTGAGTCAGCGAGAGACCCCAGGAGTGATTCCATCACCCCTGGGCAGCTGCTGGGCAGAACCATGGCCACCCCCTTACCCCCGCAGCAGGGAGTCTACCTGCGCGTGTCCACTGGGCAGCTGCCGGGCAGAGCCATGGCCACCCCCTTCCCCCGGCAGCGGGGAGTCTACCTGCGTGTGTCCACTCCCAGGAACACCTTCCAGTTGTCCCAGGCGCCGTAGCTGTAGGGGTTCCTGAACACCTGTGCCAGAGGGAGGGCCGCCGTTAGCCTCCCCAGCCTGGGTTCCCCGAGCACCTCCAGCCCGCCCCCACCATCCCAGCCTAGAGCATGGGCCCTGCACTCACTCTGCCTTTCTTCTGCAGCCTCTGCCTCTCCTTCTTGTTGATGTGTCTCTCGATGCTGGTCTCCCCTCGGCTGATGAGGGCAGCGTGCCACAGCGTGAGGGCCCCCAGGGCCAGTGCTACGGAGCTGGGGGGGAGAGCAGATGGGTGGTGATGGGTGGGGAGAGGGGCCAAGCTGAAGCATGCTGGGAACCCTGACGGGAAGCTAACCTGCACTTGCTGCAGAGCCAGCTGCCTCCTTGCCCCAGGGAGGCCCAGGGCTCGGCCAAGGGGAGCAATTGGGCTCCCCGTGCGCGTCTCGCTGTATTTCCTGCAGGGAAAGCCCCAGGTTCGCCAAGCCCAGCTCGCCTGCCAATTCAGGGGGCACAGGCATGCTCGCCCTGCTGTGCGTGGGAGACAGGTCTGTGCTGACTGGACCCGGTAGCCCAGCCCTGGACACCCGCCCAGCCCAGTTACCTGCACAGGACCCAGAGGTAGACTATGCTCTTGTGGAAGGCCCTCTGGCGGAAGGAGAAGGTGGGGGGCGGTGTCTGGTAGTACGTCTGCAAGGAAGGGCACGCGGGCAGGTTAGGCCAGACTGATGCTGGGCATCCATGGTCATTGGGGGTGACTCTACCCCCCCCACCCCGATGTAAATGGGCAGCCGGAGCAGATGGATAGACAGAAAGCGAGTGCGTGGCCAGACAGACACCTCGCATGAGACAGCGGAAGCGAGATCACAAAGCACTGGGCATATGGCTAGTGCAGGGCTGAACCCACCCAGCGGCCGGGAGCGACGGGACAGCCGCCAAGCAGGGCCTACAGGCACTGTCGGAGCAAATGGCACAGGTGGGTGCTGCTGCCAACCACAAGGGCACCTGCTGCGCCCCCGGCCCAGGAACCCGAGTGGCACAGGGGAAGAGCTGTTCACACAATGCCGAGGTGCTGGGGCAGTGTCCTGGCAGAGATGCCTGGCCCATCCCAGAGCGTGGGTGGGCGGGGCAGCTGGCTGAGACTCCAGCCCCCAGCATGCAGTGCTCCAGGACAGGGTGGAGCAGTGCCTGTTGGGGGGGACAGCACCTTTTGTGGGGGCCATGCTGCTAAAGCCAGGGGCTGTGCTGGACCCTAGACACAACTCCGCGCCATGTTGCCTTCAGCAGCTGGGGGAGTGGGAATAGCCCACCTGGTTGGCAGCCACCTGCAGTCTCTCCTTCTCAAGCAGTTTCATTCTCTAGTGGATGGAAAACAGGGCGCCAGTTACACGTCTCACAGCAGGGGCGCCAGCCCCCTCCCCCACGTGCCCAGCGTCCTTCGGCCCCGCTCACTGGGGCTGGCTGGCCCTGCCTGCGCCCCTGTGCTGTGTTCAGCATGAAACCCGGAGCTGCGGCCAGGCTGCCAGTCCAGGGGCAGGGGCACTGGCCTCCCAGCCAGTTTAGCCCCGGCTCCTGCCAGCCCAGCGAGAGGGTGACGGGCACAGGACAAGGGCCTGAGCAGAGCAGCCACGAACGCCCTTGGCTGGCTCAGCTGAGCCCCTTCCCACAGGCCCGGGGGCCCAGTCACCTCAATGGCAGCATAGGCCTCCCGGAACATGTCCCAGCTGCTGATGCCGCAGTAGATGCAGCCCATGGTCATGAAGAGGCAGAAGGAGAAGAAGTAGCGATGGTTGTAGTGTCCCACGCAGTTATTCAGCCACGCTGCGCCAGGGTTAAAGATGTGTAATGGGCCGGGCTGGCCCCACACTTCTCTGCCCAGGTTCCCACTCCCTGCTCCGCCGAGCCCAGGAACAGCCGGGGAGCTCCTGCCGCAGCTGCTCCTGCCAGGAAGGGGCAGGAAAGCAGCCCCACAGCTTAAAGTAGGAGCCCAGCATGCACGGCCCCATCTAGCGCTCACTGAGCCCAGCCTGCTGGGACCTGGGCTGCACTTTTAAACCAGAGGTGTCCAGTGCCCCAGCCTGGGTCAGAGCCCGGCAGCTGCACCAGGACCCACGAGCAGCAGGGCTGGGCACAGAGTGCAAACCCTTCCCTTGATCAGCACAGCCAGAAACTTCCCTGTGCCCAGGCTGGCCTTCAACCTGCTGGGTGCTGCCTGCTGCTGTCTGTCCGCCAGCCCCGGAGTCTGAGCGGAGCCGCCCTTCCAAGGGCAGGTTTCTGTACGACCCCAGGCATCCCCTTTCGGCAGCGCCAGGCGCTCAGTGAGCATCACGGACCTCCTGCCAAGCCTGCTGCACCCCTGGCTCACTGGCACCACGTGGGCATGAAGAGCTGGCCCCCAGCGTGCCAGGACAGCACAAAGACTGCCCCCTTTCTGCCCAGAGCCCTGCCCCCTGGGCTGGTCAGGGGCTGCAGGGGGTAGCCTTTGAGGAAGGATACGGCAGTGATGGTCCATCTTCAGCACACACCTGGGAGAAGGAGAGTGGCACACGCTCAGCAAGCATGCGACCAGGATGTGGAGACGGGCTCCAGCTGGGGTCTCCCACCTCGGCACAGCCCCCCAGGACTGAGGCAAGAAGCCAGCAGAGCAAGGGGGCAGAGGAGAGCGGCTCACCTGCTGCAGGTGCCCAGTGGTGCAGGGGGTGGGGTCAGGTGGGGGAAGCCCCTACCCATTGCAGATGCTGCAGTGGTGCTGGGGGGGGCTAAGTGGGGGGAGCCCCTACCCATTGCAGACGCTGCAGTGCTGTGGGGGGGGGCACCCTACCTGTTGCAGATGCTGCAGTGGTGCGTGCGGGCAGGCTTGGGGGAGATGCATTTCCTGCAGATGGAGACGGCCACGGTGTTGCTCTTGGCCTGCGGAGGGAAGCGTGGGCTGGGCCGTCACCGCTCAGAGCAGCGCCCCGCTGGATCCCTTAGCCATCTGCCCAGCCCGCTCAGGGCTGCCCTCGCTGCCCCGCCAGGACCCTGCTCACCCCTTGCCCAGAGCCCTGGCAACTGTGAGCCAAGCCCCGCGTAGGTGCCTCACCATCCGTCTTCAGCCAAGCTGGAAACTAAGCCTGATGGCCACTTGCCCCATGGCTCCGAGCCAGCTGTCTCTGGAAGCCCAAGGAAGTGGTGCCAGTGGGCCCAGCCGTGGCCCCTGCTCCCTGAGATGCACCAAGAACCCAACTAACTGTCCACAGAGCCTCCTGCTGGGAGAGGCTGGGGCTAGAGTAGCCAGGAGCTCCCCCCACAGCCAGCTCCTGCCCCACTCCCCACAGCGCCCCCAGGGTGACGAGGGCCAGCAGCAGCTGGTGGCCCAGGCCTGCCCCTACCTGTGGGGGGTGCCCTGGCGGGGTGGTGATGGCCATGTAGTAGTGGAAGAGGATCATGAGCAGGTTCCAGTGGCCGTAGACGAGGTGCCAGCAGATCCAGCCGGGCGGGTAGCTCTGCAGGATGAGGGGCAGCAGGCAGATGTAGACAATGGCCACGATGGAGCTTGTCAGCACGATCACCAGCGCCACGAACACCTGCAGGGAGGAGCAGAAGAGGGTCTGAGCCCTCAGCCCACCCCCCTTCCCTGCCCTGAACCCCCAGCCCTCAGTGCACCCCCCCGCCCTGCACTGAGCCCCCAGCCCCAGTCCACACCCCTTCCTCAGCCCCAGTGCTCAGCCCACACCCCCTTTCTCCGCTTTGAGCCCCCAGCCAGCCTCCTGCCCACTCCACCCCGAGCCCCTAGGACGTGGGGCACATGACTCTTTACACAGCTGACCCAGATTTCGTTGGTTTTCCCACTCTGGCACGGTGCCCGGACCTCAGGCAGCAGCACCACTAAAGAGGGGCTAGGAATGGGCAAAGCACCCCCTGCCAGCTCCAACTTGGGGGGCAGAAGGCTCTGGGGCTGGAACAGACAGCTGGGGGGGAGGAGATGAGACCCCATCCCCTCCCCTGGCTCCCCAGCTCTGAGTAGAGGGGCACTCACCCCACCTGGCGCCCCCCACCCCGCAGGGCACTCACCACACCGAACCAGCGAGTGACGTGATCCACCAGCCAGTAGATGGGCTCGAAGAGGGAGTCCAGCACCACGTCGCTGTTGGTGAAGGAGTTGTAGAGCAGGGAGCGCAGGCAGAGGTGCCCATAGCGCCACAGCTGCTGCGCCCGCCATGCCAGCCTGACCCTGCGCCACCGGCCCACCCGCAGGCACTTCACACAGAGGCGCATCACCGCTGAGAACGCCCGCCGGCGGCTCCTCATCCCTGCCGCACACCGCCTGCGGGAGCAGAGCCCGGCTCAGACCTCGCGCGGGGAGCGCCGAGCCCAGTGCCCCAGGGCAGCGCTAGGGACCGGGGCGGGGCCTGCCGGGGGGGGCTGTGCCGCCAGGACCGGGGCTGCCGGGGGGGCTGCCAGGGGGGGCTGTGCCGTCAGGACCGGGGCAGGGGCTGCCGGGGGGGCTGCCGGGGGGGGCTGTGCCGCCAGGACCGGGGCAGGGGTTGCCGGGGGGGCTGTGCCGCCAGGACCAGGGCTGCCGGGGGGGCTCTCCCCAGCAGTCAGTGCAGCTGTACTGTCCTGACCTCACTGCACTGGTACCAATGTTTCTGCCTTGCCCTGCTGGCGGTACTCACTGGCATGCCCAGCCCATCCCCGGGAGGGGGCAGAGGAAGCCAGTGACCTTCGGTTGGCCTGGGTGGGGGAAGCAGAGCCCGGGCAAGGGGAGTGAGCCCAGCTCCTGGGGCTGTCCTGGGTAACTGTCTGGAGGACGGGGAGTGCAGAGCCCACAGCTCCCCGCCCCCCATCCTGGCACAGGTGTTCATTGGCCACATTTCGCCTTTCCCACTCCAGATGCAAAAGAAACCAGAGATGGGGCTGAGGGCAGCTCTGCTGGGCTGGCTCCCGGGTGGGAGCTCAGACACTGCCAGCTCCTCCAGAGAGCCCCACCTGGCCCGATGGAGCCGGGGAGCCCCCAGAGGGGTACAGGTGGCGTTAAAACCCACACCACCATCTCCACCCCAGCAGAGATGGCAGCCTCCCTCCTGGGGGCTGCTGGGTCTCGGCCCCCTGAACCTAGCACTGGGGGCTATTCCCCTCTCATAGCCCCAGTCTGGGGGAGCCCCACAAGTTATCCACCGCCCCCACAGTCCAGTTCATCTCGGGCGAGCCTGGGAGACAAGGCTGGATTGATTCCCATTGCGCAGACCCTGGGCGGAGGCCCCAGGATGAGCTGGTCAGTGGGTGCAGCTGGCATTGGGCATGGGGTGAATGGGGCCCTGCCAGGCTGGGGTGCTCACCCATCTCCGTGGGACATGCCACAGCACATCCAGCATTAACTAGGAGAGGCTGCCCCGGGACCGCCCCGGGGCTCAGGCACAGAGCCGGGCACAGCACACAGGGGGTGCCAGGACAGGGCAGCATGACCTGGGGCCCCGAGCCTGTCTCCCAGCCTAGCTAGCACCCGTCTCTGGGGAGGAATCATGCTGAGCAAAGCCTCAGCCCAGCCGCTCACAGACCTGTCTCCTGTCTCTGCCAGCATTTACCCTCCCCCCAGATTTGTCCCTTCGCCCATTCTGTCCCCATTTAATCCTTGATTCCTCCAGTCCCACCATCAGTCTTGTTGCCCTTCTCTGGGCTCCCCGCATTCATCCCCAGAGCTCTGATATGGGGCTGGGAGGTTCTTCCTCCATTTTCTCTTGGCTGAGATATTATTCAGCTCTGCAGAGGGCTTTGGGATGTGACTGTTTTACCTGGGAAAGGCTCTGACAGGTGAAGATACCACAGCATGTTAATGACTTAGCCCTGGACAGCCAGCAGGGGGAGCTCACGCTGTCCTTTTAGTGTGTCCCACTAAAAACGGGGCGTTTTATTCAGGAAAATCCTGTAGTGAATTAAAGTGAGTGAACTGAAAAGCAGACGGGGGCAGGCAGAGGGCAGCTCATGCCTCAATGCATGGCAGCCAGGGTGGCATGCGGCTCACCCTGCCCCCACTGAGCTGGCATCTCCTCTGGGCCATGGGGCACAGGCTAAGGGTATTTCTGAGCCTGTCTTCGCCCCGGATAGACGGAGGCTGTGGAACAGGTGGGGAAAGCCACGGGCAGGGGGATCTGCCCAGCGTAACGGTCAGACAGGCTGGTCCTCGCCTCTGCCCTGGGCTGGTGACAGGCAAACACGGGGGGCTGCAGAGCTGAGCCCCCCCAGGCAGCCAGACCCCCCCCAAGGGGGGCGCACAGGAGGTGCCACCGTGCAGGGGGGCAGGAGAGGGATGCACCCCCCAGACACTCCCCTGACACTCCGCCCCTCCCTGTCTGACACCCCCTCCCCGACCCCCCGACACCCCTTGCCCCCTCTGACACCCCTCAACCCCCCAACACCCTGCCCCTCCCCCTCTGACACCCCCTTCCCGACATCCCCCCGCCCCCTCTGACACCCCCTTCCAACCCCCCTCTGACACCCCCTTCCCGACCTCCCCGACTCCCCCCTCCCCCTCTGACAACCCCTTCCCGACACCCCGCCCCTCCCCGTCTGACACCCCCTCCCCGATCCCCCGACACCCCCTGCCCCCTCTGACACCCCTCACCCCCCAACACCCTGCCCCTCCCCCTCTGACACCCTCTTCCCGACATCCCCCCGCCCCCTCTGACACGCCCTTCCAACCCCCCCTCTGACATCCCCTTCCTGACCCCCCCGACTCCCCCTCCCCCTCTGACACCCCCTTCCCGACACCCCGCCCCTCCCCGTCTGACACCCCCTCCCTGACCCCCCGACACCCCCTGCCCCCTCTGACACCCCCTCAACCCCCCAACACCCTGCCCCTCCCCCCCTGACACCCCCTTCCCGACATCCCCCCGCCCCCTCTGACACCCCCTTCCCCGAACCCCCCGACACCCCCCCCCCCCCGACCCCCCCCCCCCTCTGACATCCCCTTCCTGACCCCCCCCCGACTCCCCCCCCCCCTCTGACACCCCCTTCCTGACCCCCCCACTCCCCCTCTGACTCCCCGCCCCCCCGCCCCCCTCCTGACCCCCCGACTCCCCGCCCCTCCCCCCCCCCCCTGACACCCCCTCCCTGGCCCCTCCCCCTCTGACACCGCCGCCCTGGCCCTCCCTTACCTGCCGCCCGGGCCGGCCCGCGCCCCGCCTCCATCTGCCCCGGCCGCAGCCCTCAGCGCCGGCCCGGCATCTCCCCGGTACCTTGGCCCCACTGCGCCGGCGCGGCCTCCCACCGCGGTGCGCGCTGGGAGCCGTAGTCTCTCCCCTCCAGACTACAACTCCCAGAGGGCGCCGCGCGGGCCGGCGTCCCTCCCCGCAAGCGGGTGCAGATCACGTGGGATAGCGGACCAATAGAAACGTCGCTTACAACTGCCCCTTCTAGCCGGAGCCAATGGGAAAACGGCTTTCTCGGGGAGAGTCACAGAGAGGCAGGCATGGCCCCGCCGGTGCGGTACTGCGTCCCCGGTGAGTGGGGGGGGGCCAGCTCCCCCCCCGACCGGTCCCTGACCCCCCCCCCCCCCCTCTGTCCCCCTCCCCCGCGGCCGGCTGGGTCCCCCCTCCCCCCAGACCCCCCCCCCCGCTCGGTCCCTCCCCCCCCCGGGGCCGGCTGGGTCCCCCCAGACCCCCCCCCGCTCGGTCCCTCCCCCCCCCGGGGCCGGCTGGGTCCCCCCAGACCCCCCCGCTCGGTCCCTCCCCCCCCGGGGCCGGCTGGGTCCCCCCTCCCCCCAGACCCCCCCCCCGCTCGGTCCCTCCCCCCCCCGGGGCCGGCTGGGTCCCCCCAAGACCCCCCCCGCTCGGTCCCTGCCCCCCACCCCCCCTCTGTCCCCCTCCCCCGCTCGGTCCCTGCCCCCCTCCCAGGGGCCGGCTGGGTCCCCCCAGACCCCCCCCCCGCTCGGTCCCTGGGTCCCCCCAGACCCCCCCCCCCCGCTCGGTCCCTGCCCCCCCCGGGGCCGGCTGGGTCCCCCCAGACCCCCCCGCTCGGTCCCTCCCCCCCCGGGGCTGGCTGGGTCCCCCCTGCCCCCAGACCCCCCGCCCCGCTCGGTCCCTGCCCCCCTCCCAGGGGCCGGCTGGGTCCCCCCCAGACCCCCCCCGCTCGGTCCCTGCCCCCCTCCCAGGGGCCGGCTGGGTCCCCCCAGACCCCCCCCGCTCGGTCCCTGGGTCCCCCCAGACCCCCCCGCTCGGTCCCTGTCCCCCTCCCAGGGGCCGGCTGGGTCCCCCCAGACCCCCCCCGCTCGGTCCCTCCCCCCCGGGGCCGGCTGGGTCCCCCCTGCCCCCAGACCCCCCCCCGCTCGGTCCCTGGGTCCCCCCAGACCCCCCCCCGCTCGGTCCCTGTCCCCCCTCCCCGGGGCCGGCTGGGTCCCCCCCGACACCCCCCGGCCGGGCAGGCCTGACACGGGCTGTCCCTAGGCGAGCGGCTCTGCAGCCTGGAGGAGGGCGCGGCGGGCAGCGGGACCTACACCCGGCACGGCTACGTGTGCGCCGCCCTGGCTGGCTGCCTGGTGAAGACGAGCGAGGACGGAGCGGTGAGGGGGGCCGGGGGGGCTGGGCTCGGGCCCGGGGAGGCGGAATAAGCCTCGGGCCTGGGGAGACTCCCTCGCAGCTGCACTGGGAGGCTGCCGGTGCCTGGGGTGCGCCCAGCCCCCCTCGGCCCCGTTCCCCTCCCTGGCCCAGGGAACCCCCGTGAGTGAAACCCCCCCGAAGACCCCAGCCGCCGTCCCTGCCCACCCAGCGGGGGGAGCTGCCCTTGGGGGGTGATAGGCAAGGCTGGGATATTGGGGTACAGCGTGCTGAGGAAGGACAGGCAGGTTAAAAAGGGAGGAGAGGTTGCCACAGATTTTAGAAACCTACACGCTTGGACTGAGGTTGAGATGGGAGCAGGAGACAGACTTGCTGAGAGGCTCTGGGTAAGGACACGAGGGGCACAAACCAAGGGTGATGTCATGGTCGGGGTCTACTACAGACCCGCTAGCCAGGAAGAAGAGGTGGGTGAGGCTTTTTTTAAACAACTAACAAAATCCTCCAAAGCCCGGGACTTGGTGGCGATGGGGGACTTCAACACCCAGACATCTGCTGGGAAAAACAACACAGCGGGGCACAGAATCTCCAACAAGTTCTTGGAATGTGTTGGAGACAATTTTTTATTTCAGAAGGTGGAGACAGCTACTAGGGGAGAGGCTGTTCTAGATTTGATTTTGACAAATAGGGAGGAACTGGTGGAGAATTTGAAAGCGGAAGGCAGCTTGGGTGAAACTGATCATGAAAAGATAAGATTCTAAGGAATGGTAGGAGGGAGAACAATAAAATAAAGACAATGGATTTCAAGAAGGGAGACTCAGCAAACTCAAGGGAGTTAGTAGGTAAAATCCCAGGGGAAGCAAGTCTAAGGGGAAAAACAATAGAAGACAGTTGGCAGTTTTTCAAAGCGACATTATTAAGGGCACAAGAGCAAACTATCCCACTGCGTAGGAAAGACAGGAAGTCTGGCCAGAGACCACCCTGGCTTAACCAGATTTTCATGATCTAAAACTCAGAAATAAGAGTCCTACAAAAAGTGGAAACTAGGTCGGATTCCAAAGGATGACTACAAACATGGCTGGCGGGTGGAACCCTACTCTGGGGAGGCTAGCCCCCAGCTCCCCCCACGGCTGGAGCCACAAGCCCCTCTGCGCCCCTGAGCCACAAGCCCAAACCCTGCAACCGGCGGTGCTGCGGCAGTACCCGCCTGTTATACCTGCCGCCCATGAATATAAACAAATAACTCAAGTATGTGGGGACAAAACTAGTGCTCAGCCTGCATGGGGCTGTGGGGGCTGATGGTCTGGACTGGCTAAGCCCCTTGGCCGAGCCGGGCCTGGTGGATGTGGCACGTGACAGTCGCTGGCTCCATAGGAGGTGGGAGATCCTCGTGCCCGGCGCTGGGCTAACCGGAGGCTCTTCTCTCTTCGCCCATGCAGCTGCCGGTGGTGTCTGTGGTGAGAGATGCCGAGTCCCAGCTCTTGCCCGATGTAGGGGCCATCGTGACGTGCAAGGTAAAAGCAGCTGAACCCGCCAGGCCTGCGGGGTCTGTCTCACCACAGGGGCGCCACGTCTGGGGTGACAAGGAGAGCACTTTGGGTAGGGGGAAGGGCAGGAGTCCTCTGCAATAGATGCCCAAGTAACGACCGGAAAGTTTTACAAACCTTGCCCTCTCTGCCTGTGTGCCAGCCTTCTCCCAAGGGGCTGGCAGGCTGGGCCGGGTCTGGGAGTGGAAGGGAGCCTCTTGGCTGTACAGCACCAGTTCCAACCAGACCACACTGCTCTGGCTCTGGGTGCCACAAGCTGCTGACTCTCGTCTCCTTGTCTGGTGGGGCAGGTGTCAGCATGGCGGACCCCCTATCTCTGGCATTGGCACCGTCAGCCTAGAGGCCAAGGAGGGTGTGGGCCATGGAGGCTGAATTCCTGTTTTCCACCAGGCTGGCCCTGCTCTGCGGAAGAGGTGGAGGCCTTTGTCACCAGGGCTGCGGGGCAGACATTAAATCCTGGAGTACTTGGCTCCTGTGCCAGGCTGGAGGGGAATGGGGTGCTGTTTAGGGGGAGCGGGGTCAGCCTGGCATGGAGTGCCCCACCCTGCTGTGGCATTGACTCCCCTGGGAGCAGGAAGGAGAGCCAACTGGCAGGAGAAGCAGGGACGGCATTAGGTCCCCTAGAGTAGATCTGGGAGGGGCCAGTCCCTGCTGGTCTCACTGCCCAGTACATGGGCACCTCTGGGGGCAGCGCTGAGCCCAGGGTTCATGCCAGACTCTCTCCCCACAGGTGTGCAGCATTAACTCCCGCTTTGCCAAGGTGCACATCCTGTACATCGGCTCCACACCGCTGAAATCCGCCTTCCGAGGCACCATACGGTAGGGCCTGGCCTTGTCGGCCCTTCCCTGGGGGAGGGTTGGGTTCCTGCTGGTGCTGCCCCCACCCCCCCTGAAGTAAGGGGAGTGGGGCCAGCTCAGATGGGGCCTCGTGTCTGTAATCCCAGTGCTGCCTTATCCAATGACTGGCCCCTGCAGGCTAATGCCTTCAGCCCAGTGCCAGGCAGTGTCCTGGGCCCTCCTGCCAGCCTGGGGAACAGCCTGCCCCGGAATGAGGGGCAGGCAGGGGACGGATAAGTCCTTTTGGGGCAGTTACTGCTGGGTCTCAAAAGGTGGGAGTAGCCCTGGGCCCTGCTGCCCAGTGGGAGTGGGCCTGTCTGCCTGCCCCAGTACTAGGATCCCTCTGTCTCCTTACAGGAGAGAAGACATTCGAGCCACAGAGAAAGACAAGGTCAGTCGGGTGCTGCCTGCTTCGGTTACTGCCCAGCGTGGCAGCTGACATCCACCCTCCCTGCACGTGCAGCCGTAACCCACCCACCCCCACCCCCGGCATGGCTCGCCCCACTCACCTCCCCGTGTCTGCAGCTGTAACCCCACCCCCTCAGCATGGGTCACTCCACTCACCTCCTTGTGCGTGCAGCCCTCCCCCCTCATCCCTCAGCATGGCTCACCTCACTCCCCTCCTGTGTCTGCAGCCGTAACACCCCACCCCATACGGCTTGCCCCACTCACCTCCCGTGTGTGCAGCTGTAACTCCCCCAGCATAGCTCACCCCACTCACCTCCCCGTGTCTGCAGCCGTAACTCCACCCCCCCTGGCATGGCTCGTCGCATTCATACCCCGCCTGCTCAGGCTCCCTTGGGGAGGGAGATTTGCTGAGCTCGGGGTCTCCCCCCGATCTCTGAAGGAAGCCCCCCTCCAGGACAGGCTGAGCAGGGTGCAGTGTTTGGGGGGGTCTGTGCCGAGCTGGCAGGTAAGTGCCCACAGGGCTGTGAGCCATGCTGCCTGTGGCCACTGATATGGGGCTGTTATCAAGGTAATGGGACTTGCTGGATGTGGCTGTGGGACTCCTCTCTGCAAAGGGGACTGGCCTTGGTCCAGGCCAAAGCTGCTCTCCTGCTTGAACTGACTTTTCCTGCCCCCCTCCCTGCGCCTTGTGTTCTCTCTGGCAGGTGGAAGTTTACAAGAGTTTCCGTCCTGGAGATATAGTCCTGGCTAAAGTGGTATCCTTCCCTGCAGGGGTGGGGTGAGGTGGGGTGGGGCACGGAGGGGAGTAGCCAGCTGGGCTTTTCCAGCCCAGCCCTGGAGCCTTTTCCCTTAACCTGCCTGTGCCTAGATCTCCCTGGGGGACATGCAGTCCAACTACCTGCTGAGCACAGCA